CCTGGCACACCCAGCCGGGACAGATAAGGGCTGGCTGATGGACCCGACCCACCATCAAGGAAGAGAAGGCAGAACTAAACTGCTCACTTAACGGCCATCCAGATGAAAGGGGAAGGTCTGGCTGGCGAGATGGCTCTGATTTCACTTCTCTGCCATGCAAAGCAGCCCCTTGGGTCAAATGCCCTGTCTGCACTACACTAACAGGGGAAATTTGGAGCTGCAGCTCCCCCTGCCCTCACTGGAATGTTTCACTAAGCTGGCAAAGGCAGAGTCACTGCCCACGAGGCACTTTTACAGCTGGGATAGCAAGAAGCCCACAGAATAGCTACAGGGGTTGTACTGCAGACCTGACCCCAAGGCAGGTTCCCCACAGCTCCAACTCTTTCCCTTCCTCCCCAAAGCCTGCGTGGGATGCGAACTCGGCTGCTGATTACCAAAGCGCAACGAGGCACTTAACACATTTCTGTGGTTGTGGATTTTGCTGTGAAAACAAAACAAAAAAAATCCCCTGGAAAGGCAAGGGGTAGAGGAGGAGGAGAACAAACAAAATCCCCGTGGCTGGTTGGCTTAGCGAGACCTGGTTTTCCAACAGCCTCTGCGCAAAGGGAAAACTTTGTTCTGAAAAGTGCTATCACAGGATTTTCCTCGGGCCACTTGAGCTGCTCAAGTGTGAGGTGTTAGAGCCTTCCAGCTGCTGGCCATGTTCAAACATCTTCAGTTGGTTCGTATCTACACCTGTCTGAAGGCAAAGGGGCAAAAGGACATGGGACTGCTGTCACTCACAAAGTGCATCCCGATGGAGGTGGCCGCTGCGGTCTCAATTTCTGTGCCGATGTCTTCAATGAAGGGATATTCATTCTGGTCATGGACGATGATCTTGGCTCCTGTGGATGTCACCAGGAAGGGGTTGTAGTCTGCTTCATCTATATACAGAACAACCTGCAGTCCTGAAGAACAGAGGCAAGGCAGGAGCAGTTACACCAGAAGCCAGAGCCACTTTTCTGAGCAGGGAGAGCAACACAGTTTGTTTTATGTTATCTGGCCTTAAGTAGAACTGTAACAGCCAAGCAGAGCTCTTACAATGCTAGACTGAGACCCTTGCAGCAAGCACCGTCCCTCTGTGGCCCCAAGGCCAGTGAGCAAGCTGTGTCTCTGTAGAAGGTAGCTGAAACTTACTTTAAAAAGTTATATAAGCGGGAAGCCGTAATTCCCGATGGAAAACATTAGTGATGCAATGGTATTATCTTTGTATTCTCTGGCAATGGTTTGCACTAGTTCAAACAAGCATTTCCCCAATCTGCTTGCACATCTAGAGCCAACACATCAATCACTCTCCAGTGGGATCCAGTTCACTGAACCACTGTTATCTAACAGCAGTTCTCAGCCTCCGGTCGGTCTCTTACCGTACTCGCTGCCGCCCGTGGAGGTGCTCAGCACCGTTCCGTTTTCTCCGCTGTTGAAGGTGTAGCAATTCCCATGCAGGGGGTGATGGAAGCGAGTGAAGTGCCTGCAAGAAATCAAGTGCTGTCACACTGCCCTCGGCAGTTTTCACTGTCTGCGGGAGCAAATCAGCAGAGCTGGGCTCTTTGCTTTGGCAGAGATGTGGCAGGACAGGATGTTTCCCTTTTTTTGTTGGTGGTGATTTATTCTGCTGAAAAGCGTGAGTCCTTTTCCTAGTACCTTGAAAGTACATGGCAATATGATATGGCTTAATAGCACCAGGAACTGAAACGTTCAGGAGGTTGCTGTGTGGGAGTGGGGGCTGAGAGGGTGGGGAAGTGCATTTACAGCACTAGGAGGAGGGTGGTGGTGGAAGGGACACAGTCCTCTGTCATTCAGCAGCCAAGGGTCTAAAGGATCTTGGCTTTCAGAAGAGCTGCTGCACAGGGGAGCTGATTCAAACACATTCATGTCTGTCCTCTGAGCATCCCATCCCACTCAAGCAAATGTCTTCATTCCAAGAAAAGACATTTTGCCTTTGTGCAAGTACAGACACATGCAGAACGCCCTCAGCAGTGAGTGGTACAGGGCAGCTTGCTCCTGGCAGTGGGGAAACCACTGAAGCCAGGTACAAGTGCAGTCTGAGCCCCGTAACTGTACAGGGAAACTGATCCTGCCAGCACACACAACTGCACTGCCACCAACATAAACAGGGAGATTTGATTCTGCCAAACCCCACAGGTTTACATGAAATGTGGACACCAGAACACGAGGGTAAATGAAATTAAAGAGAATAATTAAAGCTGATGAAGACGCAAATGTTGGCTTTCATTTGGAAACGGCTCCTGCTGGGATTCATCGAACACCAAATATTCAATTCCTACACACTATGTACTTGGAAAAAAGCCGTTAAGCTGGAGGGATGTTCTGTGCACTGACCTTTTGTCACAAGATAGGCCATCAAAGAAACATGTCAGTAGAAGGTCATCAGCAGAATAACTCAATTTTTCTTTAGTCTCCAGGGGAATTTGTGCCATGATGTTCATGTAATGCAGCTTGTACCATTCCTGGATGGCATTAACACCAGAACTGAATGTATACAGTGCACACTCACTGCTGTTGTTTGCATCACACTGATAATTACAAAGGGGAAAAAGCGTTTCAGGTGAAATGAAATCAAGTGTTCCACAAGGTACGGGTGACCCCCAGCAATGCACACACAGAGTCAGAGTGGCACCAAGGGGACAAAGGGGCAGCAAAGACCTTTCATTCAGGGCTAAGTGATAGGATCAAATGTTTCAGGCCCAAAGGAAAGGTCACGGGAAGCACTAAGTCTATTTGGGCAGACTTCAGGAAGGTATTTCTCTTCCAGGGAGCTGGAGCTGAATCTGCAGGCAGCCACGGAGGCCTGAGTAGAACAGCAGGTGGAGGGTTATTCACTATAAAGCCACCTAAGGAAGCAATAGAACTGGCCGAGGGACACCAACCCAAAGCACCCCTTTGCTGCCCCACAGGGAACTGGCTGGCCGAGGAAGAGAGGCACTCACCAGCTGAAAGCCGATGATATCGTTTGAATCCCCGGAGTTCACGATGGATGAATCCTTGTGAAAGACGCTGCCCTCTATTTTCCTCTTCTGGCCACTGTGAAAGTCAGTCGCCGTCTTAGAGAAGTCCTCAAACTTCAGCAGAGGGATCTGCTGGAAGAAGTCGCTCCCTGAGCTGTTCCACTCATCCACCGACCGGCGCACCTTGGACTTGCCCTCCGAAAAGCCGTAGAAAGTCTCCAAAGCCTTTTTTGTCTCTTTGTCCAGCTCAAATAAATAGTCTTTCATGGCACTGTACCTGCATTGGAGACAACATGGTAAGAAGTGACATCCTATCTCACCTCACCCACTGCACTATACATCCTATCCCTTGGGACAAGACTCTGTGCCACAGACTCACATTGATCTCTCACCACCCCATCGATCCACACCAGAGCAGGCACAGCTCTGGGAAGGACCACAAAAAACAAAGCAGAGACTAAGCTACAGTGAGAGCCCTCAGACTCCCAAGCTCCCTGGAGGTTGTGTCAGCAAGCCTGAGGAGGCAAAGCATGTGGCAACAAGGTTCTGCCTTTGTGCCAAGAGGAACCCGGGGAGCTGGGTCACCCACAGGGCCAGGCAGGGCAGCTGGGAGCAGAAAATAATTGATGTAAATACAGCAGAAGAAAAAGTATTGCTGATGGATAATGTCAAAGCATCCTATGAGGTAAGGAAGAGGCAACATAAGAGTGACAGACATTCCTTTTCCAGTATTCAGGAGATGCCGTTGCTTGTAATCCTGAAACCTGGGTCCTGGAAAGATGGGGATTTGAAGAGAACCACGGAGCCGAGCAGAAACTGTCTGGAGCTGAGACTAAATCGACCGAGTCCAGTTGAGCAGGCAGGGTGTGAGTGTAACCACGCGTGCGGAAAGCGCATCGGCACAGAGGTGGATGTGGTACTCAAAGTGCCATAGAGGGGAACCCGGGCAGGCGCGACTGCGGAGCGCGGCCCAGAGGAGGTTTGGCCATGGGCTGAGAGGATGCCCAGCGGCGGGGCTCACCCTCCCCGGCACCCCGAGCTTACTTGTAGGGGTTGATGTTGCAGATGGTGACGGCGGGGAAGGGCAGCTTCTGGAACTGGACGGTGACGGACACCGAGGCGCTGTAGTAGTTCATGAGGAGCTCCGCGCACTGCCAGACGATGAGCCCGACGGCGCTGAGGGTGAGCAGGATCCAGAGGAAGCGGCGCAGGCGGCCGCGGGACACCACGATGCGGCGGCAGCCGTGCGTGTTGGTGTTGAGGCAGTACCACCGCATCAGCTCGCTCAGCGTCGGCGCCTGCGGGCCCCGCACCGGCAGCGTCCGCTTGATCCGCGCCGTGATCTTCTTCCCGGGGGCCATGGGAGCTGCGGGACACGGACCGCGCCGCTGAGCGCGCCGGGGGCAACGGGACCCCCGGCCCCGCCAGCACCGACCCAGCGCTGACAGCTCCGCTCCCCTCCCGGCCCGGCCCCGCCGTGAGCCGGCCCCGCGCCCCCCAAGGCAGCCCCCGCCCGCCCCGCCTCACCTCGGCCGCCCTCGGGGCCCGGCGGGGCCATGCTGCGCTCCCGGCCCCGGCGCCACTGCCGATGGGACGGCGGCGGCCCGCCGCGGCACCTACCCCGCCGCGGCCCCGCCCCGGCCCGGCCCGGCCCGGCCCGTCCAGGCCTGCCCCGCCCCGCCACAGCCACCGCCGCCCCGCTCCGCGGCCGCGCAGCGCCGCCACACGGCGGGGTTGGGGGGCGCGGCGGGGCCGGGCGGGCAGCGCGGGGCAGGGCCCTGCAGCGAGCGGCAGCGGCCGGCGGGACCCCGCGGGGCGGGGCAGTGCCAGGGCAGGGCCCCGCTCGCTCCCGCCCCGCCGCCGCGCCAGCAACAAAGATGGCGGCGGCGCAGCACCGCCTGCCCGCCGGTCACGTGAGGGCGCGCCCCGCCCCGCCCGCTGCATGGCGGCGCCGTGAGGCGGCGGAGCCGCGGCGGCTGCGGCCCGGCGGCGGGATGCTGCGGCCGGCGGGCTGAGCGCGGGGGGATGCGCGCTGCGCCGCGCAGCCATGTCGCGGGTGAGCGGCCCCGGCCCGGCCGGCAGCGCCAAGGAGAAGCGCTCCTTCAGCAAGCGGCTGTTCCGCGGGCGGGCGGCGGGCGGCGGCTCGGCCCCGTCCGCCTCGCCGACCCCGTCCGGGCGGTCGCTCGGCGGGTTCATGAGCCGCGTGCTGAAGACCCTCTCCACCCTCTCGCACTACAGCAGCGAGCCCGAGTCCCGCGGCCCGCACGCCCCGCGCCTGCCCCCTTCGCAGGCGGCCGGCGGCCTGGGCAGCTGCTTCCCGCCGGGCCCGCCGCACAGCCCCGAGCCCCCGCCGCGGCCCGCCGGCGGCCCCGAGGCCGTGCCCGGCGTGGCGGGGCTGCGCAACCACGGCAACACCTGCTTCATGAACGCCATCCTGCAGTGCCTCAGCAACACCGAGCTCTTCGCCGAGTTCCTGGCCCTGGAGCAGTTCCGCGGGGGGCCGCCCCCCGCCGCCCCCAGCCCCGCCGCCGACGGGCCGCCGGCCGCGCCCGGCGAGGTCACGGAGCAGCTGGCGCAGCTGGTGCGGGCGCTCTGGACGCTGGAGTACACCCCGCAGCACAGCCGCGACTTCAAGGTGAGCGGCGGCCGGGCCCCGCGGGTGCTGGGCTGGGGGGCGGCCGCCTCGTCCCTTGGAAGCGGGAGGACCGGGTGCGCGGCAGCGGCCGGGCTCGAGTGCCCCGTTCCTGGGGCTCGGGGATGGGGGGGCCGTTGGTGCCCTTTGCCAGGCCGCGGTGCCCATGGCCGGGCTCCACGTGTGGTGCTGGGGGCCGGTGGTGACACCAGGGAACGTGTTTCCCCATCGCACGACGCCGCAGGCTGAGCGGTTGCGCTGGTTGTGAGGGTGTGGTGGGGCCTTGTCGCTGGTCCAGTGGTTCACAGGGTGTGGGAAGCCCTCTGGAGAGCTGCTTCCTCTTCCCGGTATCCTTCTGGAGAAGCAGAGCCCGGCCCTGCAGCCTGGCTGGGACAGTGTGGTGTGCCCATGCCATGGCAGTGGTGGCTGCTCTCACTGTCCCAGGGTGAGACGAGCGGCTCCCTTCGTTACTGACACTGTGTTTGTTAGGGGTGGCGTCGGACACCGGCCCACAGCTCCGCTGCTTTTTACTAGTGAAAGTGTCCATTTTGCTGTTTCATACCTTTGAAGTGCCGCTGTTAGAAATGAGGCAACTAATTGTTGTTGAGGCGCCAGAGCCGGGAGCTGCGAGTGCACAGGAGGAGGAGGAGGCTGCTGCGAGGTCCTCGCAGCACTTGGGAGTTCGGGCTGCTTTGGGGAGTGCGTTGCAGGACAGCAGCACACCCACCTCCTGCTGCGAACTTGCTTCACACTGTGGTGTTCTCCCCCTCGGAGCCCGTGCAGGGAGATGTGATGGAGACAAGACACAGCGGCCTTTAGAGTGCTCCAGGCCTCGCTTCTCGAAACGGGTGTTGTGAAGTTTTATTGTAACAGCTATTCCCTGGCGCATAAAACTGTTCATCCGTGTGAAAGAACGAGAGGGTAGGTGGTAGCTTCCAAACCATTAACTTAAAGACCTTTGCTTTAGGGGAATTCTTCGTGCAGAGGGAGTTGGAGAGGGGATGTGCAGATGCATGAAAATACCACAAGAACGCAGCTCACGCGTCCTGGGGCTCTGCGTTGAGGTCAGGTGGGGTGCAAGCAGCAGGTCTGCAAGAGCAGTCTGCTCTTCCTCCGTGTCTCTGTTGGATGGTTGGGTGCCCAAGAGGCAACGCTGGGGTGCCAGCAGTCTTTGGCACGCTCAGTCACTTGGGTTGATGCACATCTGGCACCTCCCTTCTTTTCTCCTGTGTGTTTCCAGGCGGTTGCATCCACCCTAATGGTGGGGTATTCCCTGGAGAGCTGTTTGCCTTTAGAACAAAGGGACCTTCTGTGACTCTGGTGGCTTTGGGCAATCGTTGCTGGAGGGGCACTTGGGCAGCCAATCCTCTCGGCTGCAGTTTTAGTCCTGGCAGCACCACGGGCACTCACCTTTGCTGTAATCCCTCAGTGCTCTGGAGGTGCGCTGGCAGGAGGAGGAGAGGTGGATTTCTCCTCAGTAATAGCAGGAATAAAAGGTTGTGAAAGCAGAATTACCTCTTGCTAGTGTAGCCGATAAAATCCGAGGGGAAGGCAGACTGCTTTCTAGGCCAGCACTCGCTGTTCATGCAGGCCTGGCGTAGAGGTGTTCAGATAAGAGTGACAGGAGGAAGAGAAGCAGGTCTGTACATTAAATTAAGGCCATGTTCCAAGGGGTTTTTTTCATAGTGGAATTTGGTTTGCCTGCTTGCAGACATCACTAACGGTAAGCAAATGCTTTTCTACTTGTTGTGGATGTAGCTGGAGCCCATCAATCTTCTCCCTGCCAGGTCCCTGGAGGTTGTTAAAAAGCATCTTGCTGCAGGGGATCTAGGCTCAGTAGGTCCTGTTCTGTGCTGCACAATGTCAACAGCCCCTGTCCTGCTCTGGAGGACTTTGTCATTATGTCAAGCACCTGACTCCTTATGGGGTCAATTACTTTTAGTAGTAAATTAGCGCCTCTAAAGCCAGTTAAGTAGCATGAACCTGCTATTAAATTCAATGTTCTTAATTAAATTTGTTTTCAGCAGCAGATTTCACAGTTAATTTAAAGATGTAAATAACAGGCTCAGATTTGAGAGCGGGGAAAATTGGCGCTTTCACTGTGCAAACTGCTGCTTCTCCCCACAACAAGAGCATCGCCCCAGGCTTATTTTGGATAGATGGTGGAATGCTCCCCACCTGCAGTGCCCTCATTATTTGTAAGGGTGAGAAGTGTTTTCAGAACAGTCCTGCACTTTCACTCCAGCAGAAGCAGCTATTGACAGTAGCAGTTATTTGGTAGTCAGAAAGCTCTTTAGCCAGCATGTGTAGAAATCCGTGTGCATTGGGCTGTTTTTTTCTTTTCCTTCCTCTTTTGTCACTGGATATACAGGGCAAAGACACTTTCTAATTCCTAAATACTTATCTGCAGGCGCTAAGCGTCTTTTAGGATAAAGGATAATACTTATCCTCTTGCTTGTTCTTATATCTATAGGCTTTTCTCTTGGGGCAGAGGAAATTCATTACTAAGAGAGTGTCTGAGTCCTTGTGGACAGAGACCTTTGAGGGGGTGAGGTTTGAAGTGCTCTTTACCCTCAGCTGGTTTTCCTTGGTAGTATTTTCTGCCTTTTTAGGTTGGTCTCCAAGAAATAACCCATCCCACAGGTTCATGAATCACATAGTGCTGCTGCTGCTGCTGCTGGAAACGAAGAAAGGGCAGTTCAAACGAGTGGTTTTGATAAAACGGTTTGTCTTGTAATGGCAGGGCTGAGAGCAAGCTAATGCATGGGGAGGGGAGGTGAAGTGCTCGCCCATGCAGCAGCCAGCACACCATCTCTGCTCAGATCCACTTGAAACCATAGGATCTCTGCCAGTGTTTGTGTTTTAAACCTGTTGTTGGAAGAGGTTAGGGAAGGAGTGGAGTGGGATGGGGAGGTTTGGATCCTTGAGAAGCAGGGGTGGGAGCAGAGGGAGCCTGGCAGGACAGTGCAGGAGCCCCATGGTGGAGGTGATTGATGGTGGTTTATATCTCGGCTTCGGGTGACTTTCCTGTTGGTCCTGTGCTCCTTTGCAGTTTGTTTGAACAATGCTTTCAATTGCTCAGTGGGTTTTATTTTCCTGCCCAAACAAAGCTGCTGCTTTCATAACAAGGGCCAATATTGCAGCTTGTGCTTCCTCTTTCCCCTTTGTGATGGGGTGACAATGGTGATAAACATCTATTGTATGAGCGGTGGCTGTGCTTTGGGCTTGTTATTTTCCAGGGAGCTGTCCCGCTCTGCCTGCGAAGTTCCCGGGAGTGTCAGCCAGTGAGGACAGAGTGCTCTTTGTCATGGGGAGCTGCTCTGGGGGGGAAAGGGCTTTATTTCAACTAATTGGGCTTGAAGAGCTCTGCGTACTTACCCAGCTCCTGCAGGCCTTTGCCTGCCTCGGAGCACCGCTCTCCTGGGGGTGATGAGGCTGTGTGCTGTTTTGAGGCTTTCTCGCAGCACAGCCAGTTGCACACTGAAGCATGTCAATGTTTAACAAGACCCTTTGTGCGCTACAACTGGTGATGGCATTTTTTTGTCCTGCAAGATGAAGAGTGCCTTATTTTTGTGGCCCACAGTGTATAAAGCAAATACAGCAAAATCAAAACAACTGATTGAGTGGGATTATCAGAATTACATCTGAACCCAGAATGAATCCCTGTCAGTAGAGCAGCAATTACTGTGCCAGGTTCATGATTGTGCCAGGCTTCCAGCTTTATTTATACTTAACCCCATGTTTAGTGTAGGGTTTCACAGTAGCTGTGTGTAACTCTTACAGTTTGAAGGTGCTGGTGTGTTGGAAATGCACTAAGAGCAAACATTGCACTTGGGACAAGCAGTCTGTCGGCTAAGTTAGTCACTTTGTGAATTAATAAATAACTCCTCTGCATTATGGGGGACTCCAAAGTGTTGACGTGCTCAATGTCTGTACCTTCTGTTGTAGCTTAAATGACAGCAGTTCTCAGCATGGGGCTGCTTGGTGCGGTTTGGGTGTTGGAAGCCTTTGGGTCCTGCTCCGGAGCTGTTGACCATGAGCTCTTCCGCTTGCTAGAGCTCTCATGCTTTGCTAACTGGGCCAGTTATATGTGAAATGGGATCCCCCAGGTCATATTTGTTATCTTGCTTTCTGCCTAGCACAGCAATCAGTGGTTTTATTCTGCACAGTGTTAACTGCTTATTCCTAAAATACTTCAGTGGAGAGCAGACCATCCTCCCGTTACACAGAGATGGAGGACTGGGACATGAAAGAAGTGCAAGACCCTTCCTGGTTCCCTTGTCTCTTGGTTCTGGTGTTTCAGTTCCTGTATTCATCTAAAAGGACTTTGACTGGGGCTGGGTAATGTGGGATCTTGAAGTGCTTGTTGCAGTTCAGTCCAGGTGCTCCCAGTGGAGGTGTTGTGATGGGGTGGCTTGTCCTGGGGTTTGGAAGTGACAGACTTCACTTGAAACAAGAAGTGAGTTACAACTTTTCTGTATCATTATTGTGACGCTCCTTGTCATCATGGGAATGTGCTTCCTCAGTGGGATCACAAAGGTCTTGGGCAGCCTTTCCACATCAGACTTTTATAATGTTAATGATCAATGAAATGTGAGTCCATTTTGTATGGGGGTTTTGGGGTATTTTTGCTTACTTTTTTCCTGGTGTTTTCTTACTATCTCTTCACCGCCGGTGCCTGCACAGAGAAGCAAGCACTGCGTGTGCATACAGCAGCCCTGGAAGGTGTCATCTTGACAGGCTTTGCCCTCTCTATGTGCTGAAGAAAGGTGGTTCATCAGGATTAACTGAGGCTTCACCTGGGAGGGTGTGAGTAGCTGCCAGCACGAGATGGGTGTCCAGCAGGGGCTGGTGGGGTGATGCTCCTTGTCCGGCCTTGTTAAAGTTGCTGGAGGATGCCCTGTGGTCCCGGCACACTGTGCTCTGCCTGCTGCTCTTGGCTTTACTTTCTGAAGTGCAGCCATAAAAGCTGTGCTTTCACCCCCCTGCAGCAGGCAGGGCCCAGCTCCTGGTAGCTGTTCTGGCTTCCCAAAGAGCTGCCGTGATCTCCCGTGGGATGCTGCCTCCAGAGCCCCAGCATCTCTGGGATGCCCCATGGATAAAAGGAGGAGTGCTGTGTCCTGCACTGGCTGCTTCGACAGAGCTGCTGTCTGCAGAGCTCCCTTCTTTGAGCTGTGGTATTGCTTAGCCACAGGAGATCTCTTCTGTCCCTGGCTGGACCAGTGCCTTGTCCTCAGTGCTGGGCAGGAGGTAGGCAGCTGGACACAGGGCTGGTGCTGGCCTTGGCCTTGTCCCCATCCCCGGCCTGGGGGAGAGCAGAAGACCTGAACTGTTTCCTGGGCATTGCTTTCCCCAGAATACACCATCTCCCTTCAGAGAGGGGAAGTTGCTGTTTGTGTGTGTGAACACAGGGAGTAACTTAGATAAACGCTCCTCATGAGGTGTCTGCAGCAGACGTTGCCCAAGCACAGAACTGTGCTTGTGGGTTTAAGAAAGAAAAATAATAACCTGGTTGAGCAGAACTTGATGGTGCTCGGTGGAAGATGAAGAATAGCCTTTCTTTCCTGCTCACATGTGGCATTGTGTCAGGTCTCTAATGAGCTGGCTTCATCCGCTTATGCACAAAACCCTCCCCACAGCTGCTTCCTACCAGAGGCACGCTGCAAACCAGCACACTGACATTATTCCCTGAGTTGTCTTTGTAATCTGGAACAATAACAGCAGCAGAGGAGAGGCCAGAGGTTCAGCTATGCTTGCATTTATTTATTGCATCTATTCAGAGCAACAGATGAATGATTATCAAACTTCCAGCGGCTGATAAATATGATAATGCGTCTTTGCTGTAAATCTGCTTTATAGACAGGCAGGGACTTGGGTGGTTGTTGGGTGCTTGCATTAGGGGGTTGGGTAAGTGTGTGCAATCAATAGGAAATGATGATTTTCCCCGTTATCTCTACTGGTGGTGCCACTTCCATTCAGGGTGCCTGCGTGCCGGCTCTCACACATCCTTCTGCACGCTCTTCAGGGCTGAGCCGAGGGAAGGGGCTGGAGGAGCCTGGCTGCATGCTCATGGAAGGGGATGGGAGGGGGTCAGTGTTCATTGCTGGAGCCCCCCATCTGAAACAGCTGCACTGAAATCATCTCTGACCCGTTTGTAATACCTCTGGCGATGGATGGGGTCTGGTCAGATTTGCCACCTACACTTCCAGCAGAGCCAGATTAGGGGCAGAGGATTAAAGCTACAGGGGGCTGGTAAATGCAGTGGGTTTAATGTGGGTTGATGTGTTTTTTAAACCAATTGCTTCTTAACTCTGTATCTGCAGCCTGTTGCAGTAGCAATGGGACCCCACGTGTGCTCATAGAGCCCAAAGCGAGGGGCTGGCTGGGGAGGGAAGCTGTGGGGCTGTGTTTGGGTGCAGAAGCAGGCAGTTGAGCAGGGGCTGCGCTTTGAGTTCCTGCTGTACTTCTCAGACTGTTAAACTGCTTGATTCAGCTCCTTTATCTCTTGCCCTGGTCCGTGTTCCCCAGCACTGCCTGTTCCACACTGTGTGTCTGCTGTTCCTCCTTTGCACCTCGCCAGCCTCGCAGGGCTCTGCTGTCCCAGCAGCTTGGAGTGCACATTCCATAGAGCAGCAGATGCAGAGGTTTAAGCCCTAACAAACCCGCTTGTAGCGGTGGCGATAGGAAGTGTGAGTGATGCCGGGAACACGCTGCTGCTGCTGCTGGAGTGGTTCTTGTAACGGAGCCTCTTGTGAGGGAATCGCATCTGATATGTTGTAGTACTTCCTGAACCCTGTCCAAGATGTTGTGATCCATCTCCACAGGCAGCCCTTTATTCTTGGTCCACTCAGGCTGTGGGAGTCTTGAAATCAGAACAGTTATCCTGGAGACGGGGATGGCACAGATACAGGCACATGGCTGATTTGAATCCCTGGGGTTTGCTCTGCTCTGGGGTGCTCAGCTTGTTCAGCGTACTGTAGGATATCACATCACCAGGAGCACACGTCAGTAAAAGGCAGTGAAGGTCTAGGCTGGAGTGATGTGCTGGCGACACAGAGGGAGATGATATAAGGGATACTCACCTGGGTGCCTGAGGTGCTTACTGGTGTATGTTTCCATACAGACCCCATAATGCCCCCTTTTTTACTGCAAATACAAGATTCTTCCTAGCAACACTAAAGCCCCTTTTATCTTCAACTCTGTCTAGCCTAGGACTTGCAGTGTGGTGATACCACCTCCTGGCTAACTTCACCAAGCTAGAAGGACAAGCTAGCTCAGGTAAGGCAGCTGCTGTCAGGAGGGCTCGTGCACACGCGAGGAGAGCAGATTATGTCTGTTTTCCCTTGTTTTGCTGCTTGAGGCAGGTGCACAGATTACAGAGGGCAGGCACTATATGTTTGTCAGTCCTTTCCTGTCTTTTTCACCACCCCCTGCTCCTGGTGACCCCATTTTCTAGAGGGATAAAGCGAGCAGCCCAGCCTCATTTCTCAAAGCTGTTGCCAAGTCTGATTAGAGGAGTGGAGGAGCTGGGGCTCCGTGTGTGTGGTCCTGCCTGGCCCCTCGGTGCTCCTGGCTTGTGTGCAGGTACAGTACACTGATAGGGTTGAGGCTCAGTTCAGAGGGGTTGAGCACCAAGTTTGCTGTGAATGCTTCTGTTTAACGATGCTGCAGTTCCTCCACAACCACTGCCTTCACCCCTCTGCTCTGTCCTGAGGTTGGTGGCAGTTTCCCTGCCCAGCAGGGCACCGGGTGCTGCTGGAGAGGCTTGACACGCAGTGGTAGGTCCTGTCTCATGCCCACTGGTGTGGGACAGCAGTGTCCCTCCAGAGCTGTGTCTCTCTGGCTCTAAGTGCGCTGCCAGCCCTGCCTCTGTGGTGATGCGGCCTTGCTGGAGGGAGTGCTCCCTGCTGCTCTCCCGCTGTAGCCATCTCCTCCCTCCGCAGAACATTGTGTCCAAGAACGCCATGCAGTACCGCGGGAACGCCCAGCACGACGCGCAGGAGTTCCTGCTGTGGCTCCTCGACAGAGTCCACGAGGACCTGAACAACGTGGTGAGCTACAGCGGGATGCCTCCGCTCAAGGTGAGGGGTTTCGCTGGGAGCCAGCATGGGACAGTGGCTCTAACTTTGGATACAGGCTTCCTTTTCCAATCCCATCTCCTTGCTGGCTTCTCAACTCTTACAGTTTGGATGGAGCGAAGGGTTGGGTGAAAACACTGTTTGTTTCATTAACCCCTGGTGGGTGCTCCCCAGTGCAATCACTTGGGAAGGGTCTCATGCTGCTCCACAAGAGCTGGGAGGCACCACAGGCAGGAGCTGCCAGAGCTGCCCTGCTGCGAGGTCCCTGCTCACCCCAGGGCTGCCCTAAGCTGCCTCACACTGTGTAACCCCCATGTGAGCACAGCACACTCCTTAGTTGAACATTTGGTGGCACTTTTTGGGTGGCTTTGGGCAGGAAGGGCACAGATTCAATTAGGGGTGCTGGAGCCATCCAGCACTCCACGCCTGGCAGTGCTTCTAGGGTTTGTCCTTCTCTTTCAGCCGCCACTGGAGGATGATGTGCTGCTCGAGGGACCAGCCTTTCCAATCAGCAGTACTTTCGTGCAGGAGCTCTTCCAAGCCCAGTACAGGTATGATACTTAGTACATTTTCAGGCATTAAGGCATGTATTGGTGACCCCAGTACGATTCTGCCCTGACACTAGATCCCAGTGCAGTTGAGACTGTTGTCAGTGTTGTTTGTGAATTCCTGAATGAAATCTGAGCTAAGATCTTGCTCCAGAGGGGAGAGAGAATTTCATTACTTCAAATTTGGGATATCCTGTGAAAATCTACAGCATGTGCCACTTCACCTGCCTCAGTGCATCCTGAAAGCAAGTCAGAACTAATACAAGAGAACAACCTGACTTCAGTGTTCCTTGTATCTGTGCTGCTCTCAAAATTGGAATTGCAGGGCTTTCTCCCCAGTATTTGCCAGGGATTCCTTTGTGATGGAGAAAACAAACCTGGTATAAAAACATGAAGCCAGTGTAAAGTGCAGGTTAATGGTGGATGTGAGAGGTGAATTGTCTGGAGTTTTTCCCTTCAGAGGAAGAGGTCTGTACACGTGTGGTGCTGATGCTGCCATCTCCCTCCTGTCACTTCACCTCTTTTCAAAGCCAAAACCTTTCACGGCCTTCCATGTTGGAGCAACTGGTGGTGCATTGTTAATTTGGCAGTGCTGTTTATTAAAAGGCAGTGAGTGGGGGGAAGTCTTGCCTGGCAAACCCTGTAATGGACTTGGAACCTAATTAATCAAAAAGACCTAGGAACCAGCATCCCATCACTTACAGCAGCTCTGTCTGTAGAGCATCTGTGAAGAGTGCTTTGTGGGGAGGAGGAGGAGTGGAGAAGGGCAGCCAGGTTGGCATGGGAAGGCTGTTGCTTGTGCTTTGGTGATTTATCTGTTCTGATGAAATGAGGAATAACTCTGCCCTGTCACTGATGTTCGCACCAGGTCCTCTCTGACGTGCCCTCATTGCCAGAAGCAGAGCAACACCTTTGACCCTTTCCTCTGCATCTCTCTGCCAATTCCTTTGCCTCATACACGGTATGTAGCTATCGAGTTGGCTGTTTCCCATGCACATAGGGGTGTTTAATTTCCTACTGAAGGAAGAGAGGTGTCAGCAAAAATCTCTGCAGTAAGTCTTTAAAAAAGATGGATAGGACCATATGGGGCTTTAATTCTTTAGCTTTGCAGGTGAATTGGAAAATTAAGCCTCTTACTTGTTTCAGAATGGTCCTCCCCCCTCCCCCTTAGCTTCCTATAGAATTAATTTTGGGGAGAAAAAAAATCTTTGATTCCTGTAACCAAACATTCTGCTTTTGACTTTATTTGTAGCATTTTTAAATTAAGAAAAGGATGCAGCACTTTTCTTTAACTTTCCTTAGAACAGCCTCACTGATGACTCCAGTGTCAAAAAGTGAAGTGAAAAGTTTTCCTGCCAAGTGCTTATGGTCTTTTTGCAAGGCAGCAGTTGCTGGTAAAGGAAGAAACTTCAGGGAGGGGGAAGAAAATCCAGATAAGTTCAGAGCAAGGATAAAGATGCAGAGCAAAGCTGCAGGGTGTGAGTGCCTCCCTGCTGTCTGCAGGCCGCTCTACGTGACCGTGGTGTACCAGGGCAAGTGCTCTCACTGCATGCGCATTGGCGTGGCTGTGCCAGTGGTGGGGACGGTGGCCAGGCTGCGGGAAGCTGTGTCCTCAGAAACCAAGATACCGACAGAACAGGTAACGGGCTGGGCCTGTCCCCTGGGTGCCCTCCCTTCATCAGGAGGGAAGGAAGGGCTTTTGTACCATGTTGGGGGTGTAGGAATTGAAATTCCACCCGTGAAGCAGGGTGGTGGTAACCTGGATCATGCTTTTCCCTGTGTATGGGTTTCTTGAAACCTAGTGATGTTGGGATAGCCATCAGTGGAGTGTGCAGACATTCCTGATCACACGGGTATTCATGCATGCTGTCAGTGAGGGAACCGTCGGGCATCTACTGTGAATTCCTCTGTAGGAAGAGCTTCAGGAAAGCTGTCTAATCCCAAGCTGAAAAAAGCCTCTCCATGTGCTGCCCTTACCCTAGCTTCTCGTTTGTGTCAGTCTTTTTCCCTGTTCCTTGCTCCTGGCCAGTGCCAGGAAGTTTTGAGGAGTGCCATCCCTTAGCAGGGATGGGGCAGCTCAGTTGAACCAGGCAGGGGTGGTTTAATGGTTCTGGTTTGCTTCTGCTGGCTCTAGATTGTGCTGACAGAGATGTACTATGATGGGTTTCACCGTTCCTTCTGCGACACTGATGACCTGGACACTATTCATGAAAGCGACTGCATTTTTGCCTTTGAGACCCCAGAGATATTTAGGCCCGAGGGTATCCTCAGTCAGAGAGGTAAGTCAATAGCTCTGCTTAATGCCGGCCACAGGCTTGTTTTGGAAAAGGATATACTTGAGAATAGAAGCCCCACAGGTAGTTGAAGTTCTGGTGTATTGATTTCATCTCTTTGTCCAGCTTCATTCCAGCAGACTTCATGGTGTTGTCAGCTGGGAGGTTATCAAGAAGCCATGTACACTCCTTTCTACGGCTTCCCAGGTTGATTCTGCACTCCAGGCTGCTTTAATGTGAAATCTGTTGTCAGGCTTAATTTAAAGACCTGCTAGAGGCCAGCTGAAGCCATTGAGTTTGTGTTATTTAAAATCAGATTGCCAATGATGAATAAACAGGCTCAGGAATGAACAAACACTTTCTCTTTCAGAGCTCAGAAGCCTCAGCTTCTCTGCATCTCCTTCTGAAAGGGAGTAATTGCATCCTGGCTGGATGGAGCATAATCAAAGGCAAATTTTATTATTGGAAATCATAGGCAGGGTTTGTGTCTCTTCAGCTTTTCTTACAGGCAAAGCTGTGAGCACTTGTACATAGGAAGTGCTGTGGAAAGTCAGTTAGGTGAGCACTGGCAGTCAGTTTCTTTCCGTAAAGAGTCACTGTGAAAAGTCATTGCTCTTTGCAGCCTTCATGCAAATGGCAAAAGTGGTCTTGATCCCATACTGACCTGCTCCTCTGCAGCCCAGGAAGGGTTTCCTGAGGGGGGGCATCAGAGCACTAAAGCAAATGACATGAAATGTTTCCTTCCCCCTCATTTTTCAGGAATACATGTGAACAATAACCTGAATAACTTGAAATGCGGCACTGAACACTCCCGAACAATATCTTACACGCAAGGAACAGCCAAGTCTGGAAAACTGGAGCAGTCCTCTCCTAAACCAGCAGCGAATGACAAGATTGTCTTGCTGGTGTGTAACCGAGCGTGCACTGGGCAGCAGAGCAAAAGGTGAGTGGCAGCTTCACTTAGAGCTGCTCTTCTGGCTGCATCCTTAGTTGACCTGGGGCTTACTCACCATGTAGTGAAAACACAAAGTGAAGGAGCAGCAGCTTGCATTCCTAGCTTGCATTAGGTGCTAAAGAGAATGTTGATGAAAAACCATTAATGAATACAGCAAAATATTCCTAATTTTGGTGAACTTCAAATAGTCCTGTGTTAGTGGGAAGTGGTGAGTGCAGAGCAGCTGGAAGCTGTGCCACCTCTCTGTAAGCTGTCTGCTTCCAGAGAGCAGCAAGCATGTCTGACCATCTCTGTGATGTGTGGAAGTTTCTAATTGGGAGTCAAACGGGGTGGGGGGGAAGTGAGATATGACCATGGCAAAGGCATTTGTACCAACAGCAGACTTGGAACTGTCTCAGCTGCTCCAGTTTGCTTCACAAAACATCATCCCAGGCAGGTCACAAAGCTCTGCAGCCTGAACCTGCTTGAGCAGGGAGCAGGACTGCCTGTTGGAAGGGGCCCTCTGCATGGGCAGCTGTGACAGCGTTATCCCAAAGTTAAGTGCCTCTTCCCTGGAGAGAAGTGTTCATCTGGAGAGTGCAGAGTGAGGAGAGTGGCACTGTCAGAGTCTGGGGATTGATTGCTGAACAGTAGTCCTTTAATTGCTGCCTCAACTGCTTCTCCTTCCCATAGGTTTGGCTTGCCCTTTGTGTTGCATTTGGAAAAAACAATTGCTTGGGATATTCTGCAGAAGGAAATCCTGGAGAAGATGCAGTATTTCCTGCGGCCTGCAGCCTGCCTGCAGGTGAGGCAAATCTCTCTGGTTGAGACTTCCAGGTCTGTGACAGGGACTGAAGGGGTGGAAGTCAGTTACCTGCAGTGATGGTCATGCTGCATACACTGAACTAAGAGCTTCCCAATACGTCTTTATGCAATGATATCCAGATCTGGTATTCCACCTCTTTGGTGCTTTTGTTAATTTGTAAAAGGGACAAGTAAGATTAGACGGATCAGGGGAAGAAATTGCTTCATCTCCTTATCTTCAAGAAATACTTGAGAGGTTAGTGCTGGGGTCTGCACTGGAATCCACTGGTTGCTGGTGTTTGTCTTAAAGAAAAGCTGAAACATTTACTTAGTGATGGTGCTTTTCTGATGAGAACCTGGTGTCTGCTCAGGTCCCTGTAGAGGAGCTGTTGGGTGCAAAGCCTCGCTTGCTGTACCTCACCCCTCTGATAGCTGCTTAGGTATAACTGAGTCCTTGTGATTTTGCTTGCTCGCGTAAAACACATGTTCTAGGACAAAGTACACCTCAGCCAGGCTGAGAGCAGGTTTGCACTTGGGTAACTGGGTTTGAGCCATTGAGATGACTTCTACTCCTTGTTGCAGGTTTGCCCATTCAGCTTGCGAGTGGTCAGTGTTGTGGGCATAACGTACTTGCTACCTCAGGAGGAGCGACCCCTCTGCCACCCAACGGTGGAAAGGTGAGCTCATTCAGGGGTGGAGAGAGGTTTGTCAGCTGGGGACTCCATGTGCAGCCGTGCAGGAAGGGGTGGTGTTGGTGTGGATCCGTGGAATGGACTCCACAGGCCATAGGAGCAAGGAAGCAATTGAGTGTCCTCAAGAAGCTGTGTGAGGATTCTCAGTGGTAGCTGTGATGCCATCTGGAGTCTGTCCCCTTTGGAATGGAGAGCACAATGGAAGTTTTACTCCAACCATTTTACTTCTTTGTAGTGTCTGTTATTCTTTAGAAATCCGTGGATATCTGTGCTGTAAATAAGTGTCTGTTTGTTCCCAGAACCAAAGTACTGGGTAGTGCAGTTTGCCAGCTCTGCCGTGTTCTTTGCTATGTGAATGCCTTGTACTCCTTTGCAAACATGAGCTGTGTGGGAGTGGAGGAAGGATGGGGGGCAGGTGGAGAAAATTTGTGCATGTAAAAGATAAAGTAGACTTGAGACTGAAAGATGGTCTAACTTCTGTGTGCTCCTCTCTGCAGGGCATTGAAGTCATGTGGACAGGGGGGAACTGCTCATGTGAAATTAGTGGTAGAATGGGACAAAGAAACTAAAGATTAGTAAGTATAAAGTAGAAATCCTTGAAGTGTGTTCACCTCAAGAGTGGTGCTGTGTGAATTGTGCACCCTTCAGCAAACAGGAGAACCCTCAAGCTGCACCCCATGGTCATAGACTTGGGGCTGCTGGGTGGATGTGCTGGTAAATGTGTTGTCTCCCTGATGCAGCTTGTTTGTGAACACTGAAGAGGAGTATATTCCAGACTCCGACAGTGTCCGCCAGCAGAGAGAGCTTCATCACCAACCTCAGACCTGCACTTTATCTCAGTGTTTCCAACTGTACACCAAAGAGGAGCAGGTAGGGGCAAGACCGGACTTGGGAGGCCTGGCTTGTCCACGTGCTGCACCAGCTCCCACACTCAGCACAGGAGCTGTTTTCTGCAAACATTGATTTGTTGAGACAAGAGAACAGTTCTGTAACACAACAGTAGTTACCAGCCCTGCTAGCAGAGATTCTCTGCAGTAAGGAGGAAGCTGTGGGAGGTGCTGTTTCTGGGGTTTTTGCCCAAATGTTGATAGGAGAACGCACTCCTCTGTTCTGCAGTTTCCTCCCTGCGAACCAGCCATGTCTTTTTCTGGCACACATGATAAAGGGTTAGAACAGTGTGGCTTCTCCTGGGAATTTGCTGCTCTGTCTTGGAGCAGCTGTGTGTTTCCATGCCTGAGCCCGCCTGGGGTGGGCTCAGGTCAAACCCACTGAGTGGGACCCCAGCCACTGCACACAGTGCAGTGCCCACTGAGCTCATTTCTCCAGGAGTGTGGCTGCTCTGCTCGTGGTGGGAGGAGGTTGACGTGACAGGAGCAGACTGCAGATGGGTCTGATCTGGCCCTTGCCTGGAGCACTGCATGATCTGCATCTCGTTGCCAGAGGTCTGATCTGCTGTAAAAGGGGATGGTCCTAGAGGTGAACCCATGACTGAGCTTTAATTTTGGAGCCTGTCTTGTCTCCTCTTTCAGAAGTGAGGGAAAAGATGTTTGACAGCTTAAAGCTGCCTTAGAATGTGAAAACTAAAACCCACTCCTTCCTCTTCCGTGTAGCTTGCCCCAGATGACGCATGGCGATGCCCACACTGCAAGCAACTGCAGCAGGGTAGCATCACACTGAGCCTCTGGACCTTACCGGATGTTCTCATCATACATCTCAAAAGGTTTCGACAGGTAAGGATGCCTCGAGGCCTGCTGCTCAGCCAGGGGGAACCTGGCTACACCACCTCTTCTGCCCTGTGTATTCCTGTCCTGGCTTTCTGTCTCCTCCAGGCATGGTGGCCTTGCTGCCACTGCAGTTCATGCCCCTCTGTTTACACAGGAAGGAGACCGAAGGATGAAACTCCAGAATATGGTTAAGTTCCCCCTGAGTGGTTTGGACATGACTCCTCACGTTGTGAAACGCAGCCAGAGCAGCTGGAGTCTGCCATCTCACTGGTCACCCTGGAGGAGGCCCTACGGTCTTGGGAGGGATCCTGAGGACTATATCTATGACCTGTATGCTGTCTGCAATCATCATGGCACCATGCAGGGGGGACACTATACAGGCAAGTACCTGCCATGTCATGTGTGGTGGATCCTTTCAGGAAGAAAACTCTTACATTGACATTTGAGTGTCTGTAACTTCCTCATCTTTCTTGGCAAAAGGACATAACCCACCTGATAAGGGCTGGCTGTGTAATACTGCAGGGGTGGCTTATGACTTTGAGGAATGGAGTAATGCCTGTTAACCCCAAATCTTGTACTGTATGTTTCTTTCTTGGCTACTTTTTTTCCTTCAGAATAAGGTAACTGGAATTTCATGCTTCAGAAATGCTCCTGGCCACTCAGAGCACAACTTGCATAGTTGCAACAGGCTGTTAGACCCAGGAAGTGTTTGCACATTGCCTGTGTGCACAGCCAGTTTATGAACTCCTCTGAGCCTGTTCCAAGAGCTCTGAGAGCAGCCAGAGATAGACAGAGTTGCTTGGTGGGTCTTAGGATTTGTGTGACTCCACACAGCAGCCTCAGAATGTGCGAGTCCAATTTTGCCCTCAGTTTTTGTCTGTAATGGTGTCCTGTTCTGAGCAGTGATGCTGGACAAAGGAAATCCTGGAATGGGAGCTGTTTATTGTATTCTGGTGGCCTCAGGTGCCCATCAGTCAGACTGGAAGAGGATGTGTTGCATGAATAAATCTGTTTCTTTCATTTCCCTCAACTCCATCATAGCAGATAGGGTCAGATGTAAGTTATCAGACAGCAAACCTGACAGTAGCAGGAGTGAGGAAGGTCTAAGAGTCATGTTTTTCCTCTCAGCATATTGCAAAAACTCGGTTGATGGTCAGTGGTACTGCTTTGATGACAGTGATGTTCAGCAACTTCCTGAAAACGAAGTCTGCAAGCAGACAGCTTACATTCTTTTCTATCAGAGGCGCACAGCAATCCCATCCTGGTCTGCCAACAGCTCTGTGGCAGGTAAGCCCTGCAGGCGCTGTCAGGGAGTGGTGGTGGTTTGTCTTTCACGGATAGTTTGTTCTTCTGAAGGATTTTCTGCCCGGTTTAAGCCGCTGCTCTCTGTCCCAGAACTCAGTGAGGCTTCTCTGAGCCTGCTGCTGTGCAGAGGGGCCACAGGAAGCTCCCACCTCTTCTGTTGAGGATAGCTGTGTCAAAGGGGCTGTGGAGATGGGGAACCCCCTCCACCCCATGGGTGATGCTGCTCAGAGCTGCCCTTGTCAAAACCAGGACATGAAACGGGACAGTCAGTTTCCCTCCAGCAGAGCTGCTGGTCTGTGGCGGGCAGGAGCTGAATCCTGGGGGAGATGGGGGTGGATGCAGATGCCTTTGGGAAGGAAAGGATGTGCACTGTGTTTTTGTGGCAGCTCAGGAGCTGCACCTCTGCCTGCCTGCTGCTGCACTGTTGATTCACAGTGTACTGGGCTGGGTGCCATTCTGTCTTTCACTTACGGCCACACTATTTCATGCAAGCGAAGACTTGCTCTCAGCAATGTCTGGATGCTGTGGCTGTGTCAGCCGGCTCCAGACTCCAGGTGCCTGTTGAAGCCAGTGCCATGTGGTATGTACCCAGCTCTCAGTGTCCTTCCAGTGTTTCCCATGTTCTGGCCTGATGTCCATGCCTGGTTCCTTGCAGGCTCCACAAGCTCCTCACTCTGTGAGCACTGGGTCAGCCGCCTGCCCGGCAGCAAGCAGCCCAGCATCGCTTCAGCAGCCTCGTCGCGGCGCACATCCCTGGCTTCGCTCTCGGAATCAGTAGAGCTGACTGGGGAAAGGAGTGAAGATGATGGTGTGTATCAGCACTGCAGTGCATGGGGGCCACTGGGCTGCTGTTTCTGCTACAAGATCCCTATTAAAATAGGTGCAAAATAGGTAGTTTGAGGGACAGTTACTCTAGCAGCTGGGGAGGCAGGCACTGTGGGTTCTGGCAGATGGGTTCTGGGACAGGTGAGCTTTTCTCTGGTATAAAAGGATGGAAAAGAGTAGGACAGAACCTTAAGGAGCCTTTCAAAGAAAGGAAATGCTGTCAACGAAACCTCTCAAGGACTTGTGCTTGTGTTTTTTTAGATAAATATGTGCACTTCTGGGAGCATAATCTTAGTTTTGATTTGAGTTTGAATTGATGGCTAGTTTCAAGGACTTCCAAGGTACAAAACCTGTGTTTGGTCTCCTGCTGCTGGTGGATGAGAGGAAAATCTGGGGTTTTAGTTACAGGCTGCCACTAGCAAATAACTATTGTTGAACTCCTTATTCAGCTTTCATGCAAGAAGCTGTGGCTGCAGCAGGCATGGGGAGGCAAGCAGCGTGGTGTAGGTGGGCTGTCGGACACAGGGAGCGGTGTCTGTGGATGGTTGGGACAGGCTGGGCCTAGCTTTTACACTGAGGGGTCTTTTTCTGCAGGAGGATTTTCGACTCGTCCCTTTGTGCGCAGTGTCCAGCGCCAGAGCCTCTCATCCCGATCGTCTGTCACCAGCCCGCTGGCAGTGAGTGAGAACGGTGTCAGGCCCTCCTGGTCCCTCTCTGCGAAGCTGCAGCTGCGCTCCAACTCGCCGTCGCGCTTTCCTGGAGACTCCCCGGTGCACACCTCTGCTTCCACCCTGGAGAAGATCGGGGAGGCTGCTGATGATAAAGTCTCCACCTCCTGCTTCGGCAGCCTGAGGAACCTCTCTAGCAGCTACCTGGAGCCCTGCGATGGCAGTCGGCGGGAGCACAGGACGGCTCGCAGGGCTCCTTTGGCTGTCATGGAAGGGGCGTTCAGGGAAGAGGCTGTTGTAAGGACATCTAGCTCCGATCTTTCAGATGAGTATGGCAAAAGCTCTGTGCAGCCAGACAGGAATCACCCTGCTTTGGACCCTTTTGATAACAACAACCAAATCGCCTTTGTTGATCAGAGTGATTCTGTGGATAGCTCTCCTGTCAAGGAGGTGAAAGCCCCCAGTGGGACAGGGCTGGCTGCAGAGAAGGCAGATGGCACTCCTAAGAAGGTTCACAGCTCCAAGGGAGTTTCTGAGCCAGACAGAAGTTTGAGGAAGGGACGGACAGTCTTAGCTACGCAAGAGACCAAAGTCTCTCACGCTTCTCCTCCTCCACTAAAGAGTGCCCAGAAAGTGTCCCGGTCTAGAAGTAAGACGGACTCCTCTAGGGCCAGCGGGCGCCATGGGTCTCCCGCTCCCACTCAGGCTAGGAAGGACCATAGCACGAAGCCCCTTGAGGTTGCTGTCCCATCGGCCCCGCAGAAGCAAAGGCCAGGTTCATCTCCATCCTCCACAGCTGCCAAGAGAACCCCATCGGGCTCATTGACTAAAGGCTCTTCTGCTGGGAAGAGCCGGACTTCAGACCGAAGCCTCAGCAGGGAGGGCTCCAAGCTAAGCCTGGGGTCGGATAAGACGAGCGTTACCAGCAGCTCGAGAACGAGCTCCCCGCGCATCAGCCACTCCAGGAGCGACAGCCGGGCCGTGGACAGCAAGCACGTGCGGAGCTCCTCCATGGCCAACCTGCGCTCTCCAAACGTGGGTGTGCGCTCTGCCCTGAAGAGGGACAGCAAGTCCGAGGAGAAGGGGCTGTCTTTCTTCAAATCGGCCTTAAGGCAGAAGGAGACGCGGAGGTCAGCAGACCTGGGGAAGACCACGATGCTCTCCAAAAAGACGGGGAGCGGCAGTTCCAAGTCAGGCAGTAAAAACGTGCTGGAAGACAAATCAGAGAAGGGTGTTGTCCCACCAGCCTCCCAAACCAATGCCAACCTTACTGCAAAAGAAAAACTTGTCCCTAAAGACGCTGCCCCCAGCAAACATTCTCTGCTATCCAGTCGCAAGTCCAAGTCTTCCCAGCTAGATCCCGGGGTCCAGTCTCCCCCTTCCAGTGGCAAGCAGGCTGCTGACAAGCCACTGAAAAGGTTACCTTCCAGCATGCAGGTGTCTGTACGGCCTTCTCTGGAACCTCAGTGAAATGCTGCAATCCAGGTGTCTTTTCTTCTGCTGAGAAGCTAATTTATTGAGCTCTTGTTTTTTTGTTCATGTGCCTAATGTCTGTTTTGAGGAGAAGTTAACTGCAAGTTGTTAAAGCGCCTTTTGATTCTGCCATCAAACCAAATAGCCACAGGCAGCCAGCACTGATGCAAGTAGTCTAGCTGGAGTCGTTGTTGAACATGAATGCAGCTGTCCCATAGCACTTGTACGGGAGTCTCTTTATAGGAAATGCAACAACTTCCTTCAGATTCGAGCTCTGGAATCTGAAAGGCAGTTGTACTGACACTAGTGTGCTTTGTAGAGCTGTGAACTGATATTCCTTTGGTCTTGTTCTGAGCAGGCTGTGTCCACGCTGGTGTGGCCTTGTTCTGAGCTGGGGAGGATGCGAAGGTAACTGGGAAGGAGAGGCTGCCACTTCTTCTTACGCTCTCTCTTGACCCCCTCTCCCTGCTCCCTTCTGTTTTCAAGCTTTCTAAAGGGCAATATTTCAACACTAATGTTGTTTCTCAGGTATATACTCAGCCAGTATAGGAGGGACTAGCATTAGTGGATGTGCAGAAAGGTACCTGTGTGTCCGTGTGTCTATAACAGTTCATTTTGCATTCCAGCAGCTGAAAGTGGGTGGTTTTTTTCCATGGAATGTAACCTGCCTTTTTTGTTTCTATGTCTGCAAAGAGTTCAGCTCTGTCCATACCTGAGGCAACCTCTACCCTGTCCTCTTTAATTACTTTCTCTCTTCTGGAACACTGTACGGAGCAGCAGAGGAAACCGCTGAGCTGCAGCTGGGTGCCAGCTCCTGGTACCTGTGGGACATGGTGGCAGTGCCGTAGGAGAGCTGTCTTCCTGCCCCTGGGGTGGGTGATGCTGTAGGACCCCTGTTCAAACTCCTCAGAAGCATTTCCTGAAGTGCTCAGATGCTGAATCGTGGTGGTGTGAGCATAGCACCCGTTACTTAGAGCAGTGATGTTTAGATAAGCCGAGCGTCATCTTGTCTTCTCCGCCTTCTCTGAGCGTGCTTTGAGACAGCCTCTTGTGGGGCTGGAGGGGCTGTACCAAACACCATGGGGCAGTTTTTGCCTCTGAATGCTGCTGTGTCCCTGCCCTTGCACCCTCCTCACCTTCCCCTGTGGGTCTGGCTCCCACATGCCCCTTGGAACCACTCCCCAGTCTCCTGTGGATGAGTCTATCAGGGTTTAACACTACATCTGGTGACGTCTTTGTTTACATGTCCTTCTTACAGGGGAGATTCCTCAAGTTCTTTACGAGTCCTCCTGAAGGGTGCATTCCTCAACTCCTTTTGTCTCTGTGGTGGATTTAGTTTTGTTCATCAGAGTGCCGCCTCTCCTTATGTTCAGCAGCAATCCATGTAGGTCACGATGGGCAGTGTGCTGGGCGCGCTTGTCTTCTGAATGAGGGCTCTGCCTCTCTTCCAGGCTGCTGTGGCAGAGCTTCCCTCGGCTTTGCTGGTGGACGGGTCTGTTTGTGCATCTCTTCCCTTGGTGCAGCAAACAGCCCTCAGCCAGGTAGTGACTCTAAGCTAGTCTGTGCCACCTCCTCCCTTGAGCTGGTCTGCTGGGGAGCCTGAGAAGCCTTTCACTGAGGTCTGCTGGGCACCTTGCTGCTCTGTGATCACTTCTTGTACTCAGCTCGCCACACATCTGCAGCAGGCTTTGGAGGGGAGTGTTTTGGGGGAGCTGGCACCCCAGAGAGCAGGCAGTGTGTGTGGCAGTGAGCTGGGGGTGCTGTGAGTGCGACAGTGAGCCCGCCTGCAGTGCAGCCCTCACTCTGTCTCCATGCCTTTCTGCAGCACTTATTTCCTGCAGCCCAGCAGCATGCCAGCAGCCTCCATGTTTCACCAGTGGGCTGCCTCTGGGCCAGTATTTTGGACTGTATTTTTAAACCTGAACACAAGCATCTCTTGATGCATCTCTCCTCCCAGGCATTGTTTCAGTCTCATTGCAGCAACAAGATTGCATTACTTGCTTCTTAACTGTGTGACTTGGATTATTCTTGGATTATTTTTTGTTACATCCAGCAGAGCAGATAAGACTTGCTTCACGTTGTAGTTCTTAAATTACTCCCTGAAATGTTGATGTTGGAGTATTTGTTTAAGGTTTTATCTGTATTAAGGTTGTGCTCTATGTTGGCTTTTCTCTTCTAAAGGCTCTTGTAGCAAGAATGTAATTCTGGTAGCTGGTGCAGACTCAGGGTTGTCTTTCCGTGGCCAGAGCCTGGTTCTCTGTGTTTTGCCATGGGACACTTGTGACAGGTTATTTTTATCAAATGACAGTTTCTTTTCCTGCCATCGCTCACTGAAGTAGTTTGAAGTGGAAGCCGGTGTTTGGCTGTTGAGGTGGTTTTGCTCCTGTGCTGCATGCCTGGGCTGGAGGAAATCTGAAGGTGTGTGCAAACCGGAGCCTGAGCTGAGTGCCAGTTCAGTCTGCTTGCATCTGGGGCATGAGAACGGGCAGTAATGCTCCCGTGTGGACAAAACGGGAATAGGAGGTCCTGGTTTCCAGCAGCTGATGTTAAGAGCGGTGCAGAGCGTGCTGTGCAGGACCTGTTCTGTGGCTGTGTCAGTCCTGTAGTGAAGCAGGTTGGAAAACAGCGTGTGCTGCCCCTCTGCATCCCTGCTTTTGGTATCATGCATTCCAGTGGTGCGTGCACTGCCTTGCATGGGAGAGGGTTGAAAAATGTGGGTCCAGGAAGCAATGATGTTCATTGTGTAGAAGCAAGCCTCTTGCTGGTAAAGTTATGGCTCCATCAGTGATGCAGAGTAAATCTTCCTAAAAGTGAATGTAGGTTATTGCAGTGATCTGGGAAAAAGCATCATCAATCTTCTCTCCTTGCTTTACAGCAGACTTATTTCGTAGCCTTTCCATGCACAGGAACTCCTGTCCATGTGTATTGTGTTGTCCAGATGTAAGGATGTGGCATGGTACCAGGAAACACTCCAGGGAGGGATTTCCAAGTCCTAGATGTCAGCATCACCTTGGCTTTGTGCATTGATCCTTAGAGCAGCAAAGGCTCAAGGCTGTTCTGCAGCAGCTGCTTGTACATGGTCACCTCTTTTCTTTAAAACTCACATTTGGCTCCAGCAGCATTCTCCATTCTGCCCATCATGCACAGTGTGGGGCATGTGGAATGGCCCCTGGTGTGGCTGCCTTGGGGCTGGTGGAGCCTGGGACCCCCATCTGGTGACCTGGGGGCAGAGGTTTGTTGGGTACCTCATGCTGGTGGGAAGATGCCTTCAAAGGGGGAGGCCCAGCAGCATCCTTGTGCTTGGAGCGCGTGTGAGCTCCATGGGAAGGAGGCTGCCAGCCCTCTGAAGGCTTTGTGATGTGTTTCTGATCAACTTCGGGTTGAGCTCACCTTCGTCAGCCACGTGTAACTGCCATCCCAACCACATCCCTTGTCTGACACTTGCTCCTGTTCCTGGAAGTGGCCCGGGGGGTGCAGGGAAGCAGCATCTTCACCCCAGCGCCAGGTTCCTGCTGGAGTCACGGAGGGGAATTCTTTTTACCCTTTTCTGGGCTGTGTCTTTTGGACAGTATTTAGTAGTATACAAATTATAAGCACATTTTCAACGACGTGTATTAAAGAGGCACCTTTTATTTGTATTTATCACGTTTGATAGACAATTTGGTGCCTGCAGTTCTCTGTAACCTGTGTCTCACTTTGGGTGTATAAATTGTTAACCCTGTCAAACTTATCAAATATGGCTAAATAAAGAAACAAGACGCTTAGGATAGACAATTAGCAGCTTAATTACAGAACACTTGTTCCACTGTAAGTGCCCTCATCGCCTCAGCTGCGGGGTTCTTTGCTTTCCAAACTAAAGCTGGAGCATGAGCACCCATCCTGTCTCAGCAGCAGCTGTGCATGGCAGCTCCCGCCTCCCACCGCATGCACTGGACTATGCAAGCGCTGCTGCAGGCACCGGCCACGCTTCCCGGCCGGTGCCGGGCTCTGGAGCGCCGCTGGAGCCTGACTTGTGTTAGTGGTGTCGGCACATAGGAGCATGGCCCCGGGTTCCTGCTTTGTTTGCACATCTTTGATCCTTTCCTTTGCAGGCGTTACTGAGCAGGCTGGAGTGTAGCACAACGTCAGAGGGATCCGGAGTGCTGAAACGAGAACAAACTGGTTTTCTGTCTTGTATTGTTTTCTCTTTATTTAACAGGGGAACCCCATCTGCGCTCTGTCCGTAGCCTGCATTCCCCAGGTAACTGTAAGGACATGCTCTGCGTTGGGAGCGGAGGATCTGCCTGTACCCGAGCACCCAAACGCAGAGGTTTTGGTTGAGTTTCTGTGCTCAGGGTGTTGGGTGGGCTCCGGGTCCTGCTCCCCATGGGCTCTGTGCCCATCCCCTGCAAGCAGCCAGCACGGAGAGGGTTTGGAAACGACATTCCAAATAGTTTTCCTGTTTTCTTTCTTTCCTTTTTTCCTGTATCTCTGTCATTTGCCTCCTAATCGGAAATAATTTGGCAGTATCTGATGTTATCTGTGGAGAGAACTGAAATTTAGTTTTAATCTGTGGTGAGCTGCAAGCACGACATGGTTCTTGTCACAAAAGCACCCTCAAGCATTTCCTATTAGGAGCTTTGTTTTGTAGAAGCAGAGCACCTCAGGACCTGCACCGTGTCTACATTGGGTCTGAAGGTTTAGGGAGCCTTCTGGTTCATTAAAGGCAGCAGCCCTTGGTGTGCCTGCAGCCAGTGTGTTCTAAAGACACAGATGAAAACCAAGTGGAGGCACCGCTCCCGGTTCACTCGAGGCCCTGCAGCACAAAACGGCGTTAGGTGCGGGTGGCATTTGTGCAGTGCAATAAGAAACCATTTCTAGGTGCTACATTGCCTGGGGGGGGTGACACAAGGGAAGCCAGGCTACAAGCAGCTGGATTATCTTCTTGGGGCCTTCCAAGCATTGGTTTGTCCAGGTTTGCTCACCAACTGTGCCTCACCATTGGTTAAAATTGAATTTTAAGTCCTGGTGCAAAAGCAGTTTCTCTTCTGGACACCGTGTGAGGTTTTACACTGGAATATCTACAGTTCTGATGACTGCATGTCACGTCACTGTACACCAACCTGGGCCGTGGGGCTCCCCACGCTTCGATACTCTCCTTGATTGTAGTGGTTTTGAGCTGTACAGTAATGGGGAAGCAGGCTGGCTGTGCTCGGGACCCAACATTGTACCATAACTTAAATTATTTGAGGACAAGTGCATGAGACTGTGTCAATGCCTTTTATTATTTATTTGTATGGTTTATTATTCAAGGTGTATGCACTTTTAATAATGCAGAATTTATATTTTTATGTTAAAAGTCATTTTCTTTCAGAAAGAAGAGTTTGAATATGAGGAATTGGAATTAAGTGCAAAAAGGGGAATATGTAATAAAATACAATAAATTTATTACTAGGCACCCTGCCTGCGTGAGTGTTTTTCCAGGTCCCGTGTGGGATGGGAGCAGGGCGAGGGCTGTGACATCCCGCTGCATCCCAATGGGGCTGCTCCTGGGGGAACAGAACCATGTGCTGGGGAGAGGGGGATGCGGGCTCCTGCTGTACCCCTGCTGTTGTTCCTGATGCTTCCCTCTGCACAGACCAGCAGCCCAGGTCCTGCTGCTGGTGTGTCCCTGGGGTGCAGGACCTGGACCCCCAGAGCCCTGGTGCTGGTGAGTTTGTGAGCCCCATGGGCAGGGGGATGAGATCTGCCTCCTCTTTGGGGTCTGGGGGCTCACACCTGGACAGGCAGGAGCGGAGTGTCCCCTGTGCACCCAGCCCTACCTGTTCTTGCCCCTAAAGCCTTGGGGTGCCCAGAGGAGCTGTGACTGCCCCATTCCTGGCAGTGTTCAAGGCCAGGTTGGACACAGGGGCTTGGAGCAAGCTGCTCCAGTGGAAGGTGTCCCTGCCCATGGCAAGGGGTTGGAACTGGATGAGCTTTGAGGTCCCTTCAGCCCAAACCAGGCTGGGGTTCTGTGGTTCTAAACACTGTTTTCTGTTTAGCAGGGTGGGCAGCGGTGGCCCTGTGGCCATGGAGGAGAGCACAGCCTGGTGAGGAGGGAGGATGGAGGAAGGAGGACCTCTCTACATGAGTGGCTGCACCATCTGCAGGTGACACCCGGCTGGGTGAGCAGCAGCTGCTGCGGGCAGGGCTGGGAACCATCCCCATGGCTTCTGGGCTGCTTCGGCTCTGGTCTGCATGGTGAATGGTGTGTGAAATGCTTCAGCAATCCAGTGTGTTATCTCTGCTGAAGAATTCCCTCTTGTGTGCATACTTGTGTGCATACTTGTGTCTTCCCGCTTGCAGTGCAGGAGCTGCAGTCACGGTGTACAAGACCCATCCCTTTACTGCACAACAGAGAGTAATCTTCACGTCTTGTATGGAAATGGGATGACAAAAGTCGTCTTAAATCACTGGGTCATCACTTATTTATAAGTGATTATATTAAAGGGATATTAATATAGCCAAAGGCTTTGCAGAGTTAGGGTTAATATATTTTTGTTTATTACATTCACCAGTATTTCTCCAATCTAGGCGGGTTTTATGGCCACTTTATTCAATAGACATCCCACTGCAGCTCCCGAGACCCAGCTGGGAGCGGGGAGAGGCCAATGGGGAAACACTGGAGAACTGTGATCCCAGAGGGATGCGATTTGATTGTCCCCTGGTGTACGTGGGTCTGCGGTGGTGCTGGGGGCAGATCGGGACATGAGTGGTTGCTAAATCTGGGTCAGGAGGGGAGCTGTGCCTGGGCACGGAGCTGGGGCAGATGTTCGGGTCCTGGGCTGGGATTACGGCTGCGCTAAGCCAGGATTAGGTCCCTGTGGAGCGAGGGGCAGGTTCCTGACGCCCTGCAGAGGTTGGGGTGCTCAGGGTGCTGGTTGGGGGGCACCAGGCTTGTCCCTGTGCCCTGGGGCAGCTGGAGCAGGGATCCCCAGTGTGCAAACCGGAGGAGCTGAGGTGAGGAAACCACTTGTTGGGCTGGAGGCTCTGAGCCCATGGTTCCATAGGTGAGGGCAGGGGCTGGTTGTGCCGGTGGCGGAGGATGGATGTGCTCCCTGCAGGCAGCTGCTGTCCTTGGGGATATTTATGAACACCCGGCGCTGCCGAGAGCAGAACAAGCCCCAGTGAATCACAAGGTATTAGCGCTGTCACCCGCACCCCCGGGTCTTAAATTCTGCTCTAATTAGGGTATCGCTTTTCCTCTCTCAGCACTTTCTCCCCTCTGCTGGTATCGATCCTCCCTCTGGGGGGACCTGGCCAACTGTTGACAATTTATGGTAACATAAAACTGGTTCCTCTTGGAGCAAACCCGGCTTTCAGCGCAGTGCAAACCGCTGACACCAGCCCCTCGCCGTGACCCAACGGATGGAGCTTGGCACATGGGGCTTTCACTGCGACACCGAGCGGGCTTTCGGTTCTCAGAATATCTCATACACACAGACGTGCCCCAGTGACAGCTCCGAGGCTGAGGGGAAGCCCTGAGAGCCCTTCTGAAGCCTTGCCTGGCTGCTGGACACCCCCAGGTCCCATTGTGAGCTGGGCGCACTGATGGACTCACCGATGGAACTGCTGATGGGATCGTGCTTTCCAGCTCCTGGGGGATGCTTATGTGCAGGGTTTTGTCATAGGCTGAGCATGGAGAAGAGAAGATTCCAGGGAGACTTTATAACAGCCCTCCAATACCTAGAGGGGCTGATAAGAAACCTGGAGAGGGGCTCTGGACAAGGGCCTGTAGGGACAGAACAAGGGGAATGGCTTGAACCTGCCTGAGGGGAGACTGAGCTGAGCTCTTAGGCAGAAGCTCTTCCCTGTGAGGGTGCTGAGGCGCTGGCACAGGGTGCCCAGAGAAGCTGTGGCTGCCCCATCCCTGGCAGTGCTCAAGGTCAGGTTGGACACAGGGGCTTGGAGCAAGCTGCTCCAGTGGAAGGGGTCCCTGCCCTTGCCAGGGGTTGGAGCTGGAGGAGCTGTAAGGTCCCTTCCAACCCAAACTGGTCTGGGAGTCCCTGACTTGAAGAGCCTGGTGTGGTATCTGATGGTGTCTCCCATTAGTGCCTCAGGGGCTGCTGTGCTGAGGAGCCGGGCTCCTTGCAGTGCCGCTGGTTTTGCACCTACACAAGCCCTGTGTCACTCTGCAGAGGGGCTGCCCTCACTGATGTTCTGCCCTCCATGGGCTGGCAGCTCGGAGCTGGGGGTGCTTCACTGCCCTGGAGAGGGCAGAGCTGCAGCTCCCTGCCGGGCTCATCCCCCTGGGCCACTGAGCGGCACCCCGGGGTCTGCCCCATGGTGCGGGGTGGTGGTCACAGCCTTGGGCACAGAGCCTGGCCACTGCCTCCGTGCAAAGGGGTTGGCACCACTGTGCTGGTGCCAGTCCTGCTGCCCCTCTCTGCAGGCATCTAAACCAGGGGACGAGAGCCTCGTGGCTGCTGGATCAATTCATCCAGGTACTGCACAGCCCCTTCTCCACGTTAGCTTCACCCAGTGAAGAAAAGCAGTCAGGAGCTGCACGTCCGCCTCAACCCCTGCAGTTCTGAACCCCCGTGCGGCGGGGAGGCTGCAGGTTTGCACTCGGTCTGAGCCAAGCGGTGACGAATTGATCCTTCCTGGAGGTATTGAACCTGTCTCAAACTATTCGTCAGCCCCACAACAAATCCGCTGTCGGCCCCAGCTGACGGCCGATTTGAAACCCCCCTCGCAGCCCCGGCGCGGGGGAAGCAGGGACCTCATCAGTTTTTAATGCGCTGCA